AAGGGGCGGGGCGTGCGTCGTGCGTTCGTGGAAAGATGGGAGCGGAGAGACGTAGGGACGCCGAGAGTGGAAGGAAACGATGTAGGGTTCCTGGTGCTTTCAGCCGAGGAGACGAAGCGGGAGGACTCGGCGGAAGGGATTAGCTGCCGGAGGGCGGAGCATACGTAACCGGGGTAGTCTCAACTCACGCGTCCTTCCGCGAGAGGTGAAAGCACCAGGGGGGCGGGGCCTTCATTTATTAAATCACGTCATGCAAATGAGGTGGGTAGACAAGCCAATCGAAGGGTTCGGGGGAGTGTATTCCAGGCCTGGCGCCGCTTGGGGAATCTTTGAGCAGTTCTATCTATTTGCATAATATATGCAAGTCATTTGAACAAAGATAGGCTAGGAATGACCTATTCATCAAAATATTTGCAACCAATGACAAGATGGACATTTAATGACAAGACGGACGTGTAATTTTAAAGAAGGTAGTTGTATATCTGATATTGTTGGTAATTTGCATTCTCTTCACAATGGATTTCAGTCTATAAAATTCGGTACTTTTCCCTCCTTTGTATCCTTTTGCTGTCCTGTTTAATACAGTGCTCCAATCAGACCTACTACCCGCTCAGCAAATCATTCAACAACTATGTTTTGAAGGTGCTGGAGATATGCACAGAATATTATAGAAGTAGGGGAATAAAATCAGACTGTGCCTGGGGAGGTTCTGAAATGCTTCTAGAAAAATGTGACTCTTACTAAGAGATACGAAGAAATAGGATTTAGCCAGGTTTGAGAAGAGGGTGCACATCTCAGGCCCAGTGAACTGATGAGTGGAGGCATGGGTTTGGGGAACTGTGCCTAAGCTGATGTGGCTAAATTAAGGGACTGCCAGTATGGAAAATGAGAGTAGAGAAATTAGCAAGAATCAGATAAGAATACTGTCCTGAGGCTCATTAAAACAGCTGAGATGACTTCAGTTCTCAAACTTCCCGAATGATTCTCTTGTCCCTTCTCCCTGGTCAGCTACAACAGCAAATTTTCTTGGAAGAGCCCTTCAAACTCATCTCCAACTTCTCTCCTCTCATTCTTCCTTAAACCCACTCCAGTCAAGTATTCACCTCTACCCTCTGCCCAAACTGGGTGTGTCAAAGACATCAGTCTCATGGTTTGAAATAGCATTTATGTGCTGATGACCACCCAATGTATATCTTCATCAGAGACCTTGCTTTCAAACCCCAGACTTGTACACACAGCTATGTACCTGACATCTCCTCTTGGGTATCTAATAGATCATTTCAAATTCAGTATGTCCAAACCCGAGCATTTGATCTTCAGCCCCTCAAAACCTGCTCTATTCACAGCCTTCACCATCTCGGCTGATGGCAATTTAAAAATTCTAGTAAAGTAAAAAACCTTAGAATCCTCATCAATTCCGTTTATCTCCTCACTTTCAATCAGACAGGAGATCCCATCTTGAGAAAATATTCAGAATCCAACCTCTTCCCTTCCACTTCTTTTACCTTGATCTGAACCATCCTTATCTCTCACCTGGGTTACAGCAACAGCCTCCTAACTGGTCTTTCTGAGTCTACACCTGCTCTTCCAGTCTATTGTATTCTCTACACTGCAGCCTTTTTTCAAAGGAGGCTTCAAAGGACTCCTTTGCTCAAAGCCCAGCGATACCTCTCTCTCTCAGAATAAAATCCAAAGTTTTTCCAATGAATTAGGAGATTCTAGATGAACTGGCCCCCTTTTATGTCTCTGATTTTATTACTCTCTTTACCTATACCAGGCATGCCTCCCTTTGGGGTTCTTCTCCTTTTCCCTCTGCCCTATTGGTCTCTTCTGAGCCTTCCCCAAGGCTCACTACTATCCTGACTTCTAACAACATATATTAGTTTTACCTGTTTTTGTACTTTATACAAATGGAATTGTACAGTAAGGGTTCTTTTGTGTCTTTTATCTTCTGCTCAAACAATTAATGAATTTCATCCACATTGTTGCATATAGTTATAGTTTGTTCATTCTCATTGTCATATAATAGCCCATTGTATAACAATAGTCTATATAACCCAATTTATTTATCCTGAATAAACAAATTACTTAAGATCCCCAGATCTTTTCTTTTTTTAGTGGCACCAGAGTTGTTATGAAGATTAAATGAATTAATACACAGAAAGCGTTTAGAATGGATTCCAGTATATAGTAGGTGCTCAATAGAAATTAGCTATTGATTTTGTTATATTCAGATATTTATTCAATTCAGTGATCTCATCCTTATCTGAAGTGCTATTCAGTCACTGCAGCATTCTTTTTTTTTTTTCATCCTCATTTGAGGATATTATTTCCACTGCTTTTCAGAGAGTAGAAGAGAGCGAGCGAGAGCAAGAGAGAAAGAAAGAAACATCAATGTGAGACAGACACATGGATTAGTTGCCTCCCGCACACATCCCAACTGGGGCTGGGGATCGAGCCTGCAACTGAGGATTGAGCCTGGAACCCTTAAGTCCATGGGTTGACTTTCTAACCACTGAGCCAAACTGGCTAGGGAACTGCAGAATACTTTAGCATGCCAGCCTGGCTTTACCACTGGGAAGGGCCAACATGGATGACCTCAGTGACCCAGTCTGTCCTCAGTACATGAAACAAGCTGGCATCCTAAGGAATGGGATCCTCTAGGGAGTCCAGAAATCTGAAATAGTGGCTAGTGACTGAGGGTTGCTAATGAACTCATCTGGATCCCTTGGAGGAAAGGTCTAGGAATAGTCTCACTGAGCTTTTTGGCTTCTGCCTTCCTTAGGGTTGGCTGTTTAACCCTTTCTGCCATCCAGGGATCCTGTATCCCTAGCATCTGCCCTCAGTATCCTCCTAAGTTAAGCCCCTTTTCCCTTTATTATAGCCTCAGTTTTATAGCTTGTCCCTAAAAGGACCTCAAAGACTCATTGAACACTTAAATTGTCAGTCTTTATAGTGTTGTGAATCCTTTACTTCATTCAGTTATACCAGTTCTTTCATCCATCCATTTGTCCATCCATCCATCCATCCACCCACCTGCTCATCCATCCATCTATTCAAATTTAAACATTGTTGTGGGCTTATGATATGTCAGGCACTGCAGGGTGGATCATATTTTCCTTATTTCCAGGTGAAAGACTCAGAGAGACTGAGTGATTTGTTAAGGTCATAAAGCTTATAGTGATGGAGAATGTTGATTCAGGATAATCCTTGCTCTTCACCATGGCCCTGGGTGATTTTTCTTTTCTTTCTTTCTTTTTTTTTTTTTTTTTGTCTGTACATGTCTTTTCATCCCCCCAACTTCCTTGAGGTCAAGGCTATCTTATACATTGGAACCTCCCTTGTGTACGAAACCATCTGCTGTAGCCCTGGCCAGATGGCTCGGTTGAGTGTTATCCTGTGCACCAAAAGGTTGCGGGTTGGATCCCCAGCCAGGGTGGGTAGGAGAGGCAACTGATCTGATGTTTGCCTGTCACATCGATCTCTCTCTCTCTCTCTGTAAAAAAAATCATTGAACATATCCTCTGGTGAGGATTAAACAAAACAAAACACAAAAAACCATCTGCTGTAGTAGACACAGTGCTCATTTTGGCAAATCCTCACCGCCCTCCCCTCAAAGATGCTTCACTTCTTTCCAAACCCAGGAAAAAAATCTCCCAGAGACCAAGCTGACTTAATCTAGAGAAGGAGGAGAATTTATTTTAGTTTGACTCTGGCTTACAATTTTTTGTGTTGGGGTCATTAGAAGCCTCTTCAATCACATCACAAATCAGGGCAACTCAGAGATGGCTTTCTTGGCTGGAGGACCTGTTGGCTTCTCCTGTTCCCTTGCTTTCTGCTCGTACATCAGGATCCTGGTTGAGATGGGAAGAGACACAGGGATCAGGGAACAGTTCTCTCAAGACAATAAATCTTAGGCTGCTATGACAGTCCAGAAGAAGATGGGGGTTTTGAGGGTGAAGGGATGGAAATACTGGGGGACTGTGGGGACCAGAACCATGGATGGGGATAGGCTTGGAAGGGCTCCTCCAAGGATGGAAGAAATGGATGCTGAGTAATGTATAGAAGGTGAGCCTAGGGACTGGAGTTGGGGTGGGGAGAAAACAGGTAAGTATAGGGGAGCCTGGAACTGGACCTGGAGGGCCTACCCTGGCTCTGGCTTCCCCCCCACAGCAATTCCCTCACATTTTTAGGATGGCAGATCTCTTGCCCAACATCATCCTGAGAAAGTCAGAGTAATTGAAAGTCTCCCCAGGACCACTGGACACCTCTTTGATTAATTTCTTTAGCTCCAGGTGGGTCTTGGGTACCCCAAGTTTCTCCAGCATTCGCTTCAAGGACATGATATCTGGAGATAAAGGATGGGGGTGAGAAGAAGAGACCTCTCTCTCTCTCTTTCTCCCTCCTGTACCTCCACACCCCCATTCCCTCCCTCTTACCCTGGCAGCTGGGCTCTTTCCCAAGCCATCACTAATGGAGCGCTGTAAGAGAGACCTTTTTTCCCTAGGTCCGCACACTCCCCCCAGTCACCCTTTTCTCACCGATATCTCCATTTCCATTCAGGTCAAACTCCATGTATTTCTCTGGGTGAGAGGAGAAAGCAGAGGGTAAGCTCTGGCTGGAAGGGTCAGAGGCAGGGCAGAGAACTGAGAAAGGGGTTGCTGCGGAATGCCAGGTGTGGGAGGTGTGGGAGGAGGAGGTGGGCAGGCAGAGGAAGTAGGGGTTGGGGCCGAAGGGCTCGGTTAGGGTACCCTGCGCTGACGGGCTGACCGGGAAGCGGACTGCAACCAGGGAGGCAGTAGGGGCAGCCTTCCTTCTTCCCACCGCAGAAGTAGACTGTGTCTCTGCTCTCCCCACTGTTTGAGGGGAAATCCTCCCCCTCTCCCCTCCCATCCACCCCTACAATTTTCCCCTCACTCTTGAAGGCTTCCAGTTTGGAGGCCAGCTCTTCATCACTGCTGTATTTGGGATCATCCAGGAACTGCTGTGGGGAAAGCCAGAGCCATGGTGGGCCCTCTGTGTAGGGCCCCTTCTCCAGGCCCTGCCCCTTCAGGTCTTCTTTTTACCTTGTTGATTTCATCCAGTCTCTCTTCCTGCTGGGCCTTCAGTAGCCCAAAGGCCTTTCCTCCTGAGAGGGCAGAAAGATTAACGTATCGCTACCCCATCCCTCTCCTCACCCCCCACACCAGCCCAGGGCCATCACGGTTCTGCCTTCTTAGGCCAGCTAACTGCCCTCCTAGCCCCTGGCCCACGTCTGTCAGCTCCTGCTCACTTTGAGGCTTTTGCCTATTCCACCTTTCCTACCCTGTAAATCCCGGGCTTGGCTCATGGCTCAGCAGGTGCTGGTGGAGACAGATGAGCTGGCTATCTCTAGTCTGACAGCTCTCCCCTCCCACAGCCTCCTGGGAGGCCTCCTTCCCAAAGTTCCGCTTTCCCTTCATTTCCTCTATGTACAGGCCTCACTTCCCCATCAGATTCTGCTGATGCTGGCACCCCAGGAGGAAGGGGGAGTTGAGTGTAGGTTGGAGATGAGAAAATGACATTCTCTCAAATTCCTCTTAAGGAGAGCCCTGTGTGTGCGTGAAAGTATCTTGATAAGCCACTGGAGTTGTGGGGAAGGGCAGGAAGACCCCGGGGCACTTATTCTCAGGAACAAGTGGTCTTTGAACAGGTCTGGAGGTTCAGGTAACTCTAAGGCCTTGCATCTCCTCTGGTTTCATGAGTCTGGGCACACAGGTTGGGACAGGGAACCCAGGAAGAGCTGACTGGATTTTTCTGTGCTGTGGAAGAGGAATCTGAAGGCTGGGAGGGTGACAAGATGGGTGCAGGGTCTGGAAAGGGAGAGAAACTTCATTCCCAGCTCAGCAGCTCCAGAGAGGCACTTGGAAATACGGAAATGTCTACCACGACATTTAAATTTGTTTGCTTTAGGATGTACAATGTAACCCCCTCATCTTATCCCTTTTGAATTCTTTAGCTCAGAAATTGGAGAACTGAAGTAGATTCTTTGGAGGAACTGAAAGTGGTGTCGAGTGAGCCAGCTTGAGCCAGGGGCGAGCTGACATTAGGTTTGTGTGTGTGGTGGGGGTGCTGGTCACTAGGTTCAACAGAGGGTGAGTAGCCCTGATAAATGCCCCCCGCGCCCCCCCCCGGCAAACCCTTCATCTCCCTTGCTGCTGTTTGGTCACTGCTAGGGGCCAGGGGACAGTGTATCCCCCTCACTGAGACCCTTTTATCCAAACTCCCTACCTAGACTCCATCCCCCTGCCCAGCACTGATGGAGACACCTTCGCTTCTTTTCCCTCAACCTGTTCCCCTTCTGCTGCTGGGAGTTCTCACTTTTCACTTCCCTCTCTCTCCCTGACCCAGGCAGGTGGGGGAGATGCTGGAGGGCACTTTGACTCTTCACTTGCCTTTATTGCAGCTGCCTCTCTCCTTGGAAAGAAAGCTGCAACCCTGCACTCCCAATGGTCTCATTGCCTGATGGGGAGGATTCATTTATTTACTCATCCATTCATTCACAAGTATTTATTGAATACTTACTATATGCCAGGTCAGCTTCTAAGCCCAGTGGACCAAACAAATGTAAAGTCTTGTCCTCAGGGACAGACTAATTGGGTAAGAGAGACAATCAAAATGAACACGTATATTAAAGGCAGTGGGACCCATGGAGAAAAGGTAAAGAAGAGAGATAGGAAGTGCTGTGGTCGACTGCAGGGTTTTAAATTAAATGTACTGGGGTAACATTGATTTCAGACGGACAATTTATAATACAACATTGTGTGCTCACCACCCAGAGTCTAGTCTCTGTCACTATGTATTTGACTCCTTTTACCCTCCTCCTCCTCCCCAGCCCCCTTCCCCTGCACTGCAGTTTTAAATAGGGTAGTCGGGGAGACTTCACTGAAAAAGTAATATTTGAGCAAAGGTTTCAAGGAGGTGAGGGAATAAGCCATGTGGATAGACGGGAGAAGAGCATTTTAGGTAGAGGGAACAGGAAGTGCAAAGGTCCTGAGGTGACAGCATGTTTGGATATCCTGAGTATTTGTGAAGCAGCAGGGAGGCCAGTGTAGCTGGAGCCAGGTTACCCAAGTACGTGAGGAGAAACAGAGACAGGAGATGAGGCCAGATAGCATAGGGCCATTGGGAAAACTCTGGCTTCTATTTAGGGTGTGATTGCCTCTCAGAGAGGTCTTTCCATCCATGATAGCTTGGCAGACTACCATGGTGAGGTAGCTTAGATACTCAGAAAAATGCCCTGGGCTAAAGTGACAGGTGATCTGACCATGGGAAGAGTAAAGAGTATCTAGCAAGGCAAGTGGGTGGAGAATGACACTCAGGCTAAACACAGATCGGAGAAAACCTGTGAAGAGCATACATGCAAGAAGACACCTCTCCCCCAAACTCAGATCACAGAGAGGGCTGGGCACAGCGGTTAGGGCTGAAGGAAGGTGGGGCCTCAGGGCAGAGAGCTGCCAGGGTACCGTGTGGGCTACAGCGAGGAATCCAGTGGGAAGTTGGAAATGAGGGAGGATGACTATCTCCTTAGAGCAGGGGTTCTCAGTGAGTGGTCCTGCCACCAGCACCACACAGAAGCATGTTAGAAATGCACATGGTTGGGCCCAGCCCGGACCCACTGCATCGGAAACCCTGGGGTTGGGGCCTAACAACAGCTCTTCTAACAGGTGCTTCAGGTGATTCTGATACCCAAGTTGAAGAGCCACTGCCCTAGAACAGCAGAGTAGCTCCCGAGACTGCGAGGCTGCTGAACCCTGGCTGCAGGCGTCAGCATAGGGTCAGTGGATGGTGGGGCTGGTCAGCCTGGGAGGCAGGAAAAAGGAGGAGCCACTGAGGCCAGGGTTGTTAGTGTCCAGCCAAGCAGTCAGGGAGAGAATGCTGGGACCCGGTGAGATTAGAGTTCCTTGTGGGACTGGCATGGTTGCCAAGGGCCTGTGTTGGATGCTGTGCTCTCCAGGGGAACCGCACAGGGTGTGCCTACAGGAAGAGTGCACCAGCCAAAAAGCTTGTCCCTGTGTGTGCCCTGGATGTCTTCTATTTGTCCCTCCATTTTCCCCCTGCTTGTCTGCTCTCTGCCCAGAAGACTAATCTGTGCAGACCATATCAAGGGCACCTCCGGCTTCTAGCTGGTTTTGGTTGATGGGGAGCCTGGCAGGAAAACAGCGGGAGGAAGGACATCAGGTTGAGGGTATTCATTCCTCTGGTACCTTCCCATGTCATGTCAGGCTGTCCGAGACCTCCACCTCTGGGCAGTGCTCCTCTCCAGGCCACATGCTCTGCAGGACTAGCTTCTTCCAGGTGTCAGTGGCCCAGGGAATAGATTTCAGGTGGTCTGTGAACTTGGAAAGGAAAAATGTTCCTCCTTTTCTCACACCCAACATTACATGTCTTGCCTTGTCAAAGAGCACTTCATAGTTTCAAGTTTTATTTAAGCCAAGCAATGACATTGTTTGCACTGTCTTAATTAATTAATTAATTAATTATTTAAATCCTCACCTGAGGGTATTTTTTCCATTGATTTTCAAAGAGAGTGTAAAGGAGGGGGTTAGGGGGAGAAAGAGAGAGACAGACAGAAGGGAGAGAGAGAAACTGGGTTCCTCTCCCACACACCCAACCAGGGGCTGAGAACTGAACCTGCAACCCAGGTATGTGCCCTTGATCAGGAATAAAACTTGCAAACCCTTCGGTGTGCAGGCTGATGCTCCAACCACTGAGCCACTCCAGCCAGAGCAGGTGTCTTTATATTAAAATCTAACTTCAACTCTCCTGTATTTTATTTTATTTTTAATTTTAATTTTTTTAATATATCTTTATTGATTTCAGAGAGAGGAAGGGAGAGGGAGAGAGAGAGAGTTGAAACATGATTGGCTCCGACAGTTTAGACAGTTTTCACTGTCAATTAAAAATATTTTAAATTCTATTATAATATTTTCTTGTAACATTTGAATTACTTAGAAGTAGGTTTTAAAAAAATATTTTTTAATTGATTTTTAGAGAGAGGAAGGGAGAGGAAGAGAAAGAAACATTGACATGAGAGCGAACTAATTAGCCACTGCCTCCTGCATGCCCCCTACCAGAGATGGAGCCCTGGGCCTGGGCACGTGCCCTGACCGGGAATCCAACAGGCAACTTTTGGGTGCATGGGATGACATTCAACCAACTGAGCCACATGGCCAGGGTAGAAGCAGGGTTTTAAAGTTTAAAAATACATTACAGATACATTTTTAAAATTTCTAAAGATATACTAAATATTCTTTGTTATTACTCTTAAATTGTCGTAGGTTTTGGTCAGCAATTGTGTTCTGTATAATTTTGATTCTTTCTCCAAATGCCTATCTGTGTGGACCTGAAAAGCATGTGTATTTTCTACTTTTTCTAGGATTCCACATGTTTCCGTTAGAGCAAGCTCACTGATTGTCTCATTTTATTCTTCAGTTTTTAGTAATTATTTGCCAGTTTGATTTATGAGTTTCTGAGAAATGTGGGTTAAAAATCTTCTTCTAATATTGTAAATTAAAATTTTAAAGCACCCTTGCACAGGGAATCTGAGGACACGTGGGAGTGAGCCTAGCCAGCCGGCAGTCAGGGAAGGCTTCTCAGTGGAGGGGTGATCGGCCTGGAGGGAAGAGGGAAGAGGTGAGTGCCTTGCCAGCCTTGGCCCCTCCTCCCACCCAGAGAGAAATGGGGGCAAAAGAGGGTGAGAGATGGGGAAGGAACCCTGGAGAAAGACGGGAGGCAGAAAGAGAAGTGGAGGGAGATCAGGGAAGAGAGAAGGGGAGAGGGAGAGGGTGTCTGCCACCTGGAAGGTGCTCACTGAACATCTGTTGAATGAGAGAATCAGTGAATAAGCAGAAGTGTGTGTGTGTGTGTGTGTGTGTGTGTGTAGAGGGGGGTGTAGAGATGTGGGGTGTGGGGAGAGAGAAGAAACAAGTAATATGAATAAAGATGGTGAGACAAAAGAGTAGGGGCCAGAGGTCTGAGAGCTAAGGAGAGAGGCAAGGGGAAGAGATGTAAGGGGCGGTAGAGCTAGGGCGTCTGGCACGGGGAAGGCACTGCGTGGGAGCGTGTGGCGGGGGCGGGTGGGCCTGGATGCCGGGCAGGGACGTGTGGAATGAGAGACAGAAGAAACCACACTGTCCGCCAGAGAAGCGGTTGTACTGGTTGCACCCTGAGATGACAAAGGCCTTAACTAGCAGCGAGATTTCAGAGGCAGGGATGGATGCTCAAGAGGTTTCGGAGGCAGGATGGACCGCACCTGGGGCCGGGACGGGGAGTTTAGGGAGAAGGCAGAATAAGGGGACCCTCAGGGTTCTGCCTTAAGCGACCGGACGGGTTGTTTCAGTCGCCGAGCCTGAGCGGGGAGGCGGGCCCTCGCAGCAGACACTGGTGATCCTGGATGCCTGCGTGACACTCAGGAGATGTCTAGAGGGCAGTTAGATATTCTGGACTCAGACCCCAAGAAAGAGGCAGTGCCCTGGTCCGTGTGGCGCAATGGCTAGAGCTTCGGACCATGGGTTCCATTCCTGGTCAAGGGTGCATTCAGGAGGCAGCCAATCAATGTGTCTCTCTCACACTGATATTTCTCTCTCTTTCTCTCTCTCCCCCTCCTTCTCTCCCTTCCTCCCTCCCCCTCTCTCTAAAAATCAATGGAAAAAATATCCTCAAGTGAGGATTACACCTCCCCCCCAAAAAAAGGCCTGGGATGAAGGTGTAGCTGAGATGGACATTGGGGAAGCATTAGTTAACCCTGTGGCTCTGACAGAATTACCTAGGTAAGCCCATGGTAGATGCTCAAAATTTGTTGATTGAAAGTGAGAGAAACAACCCCAAAGTGTTCCAGTAAGAAAATGGTGTGAAGGGACCTGTGTCGGGTATAGGAGTCTGGAGGAACTCAGGCCTGATGGCCTTTATGTTCCTGTGAAAGAGGAGGAAAGATTCCAAAGTGGAACAGCTTCTGCGGGGACAAGATCATGTAGGGTCAAGGTGATGGTTGGAGCGGACAAGGTGAAGCAACTGTGAAATCGAGTATTGAAAAGTCATTTGCACCCTGGCCAGTTTGGCTCAGTGGTTAGAGTGTCGCCTGGGGACTGAAAGGTCCCAGGTTCGATTCTAGTCAAGGGCAACCACCTGGGTTGTAGGCCTGATCCCTGGCCCCAGTCCAGGCGAGCACGGGAGGTGACCGATCGATGTGTCTCTCACATTAATGTTTCTCTCTCTCTCTTCCACTCTCTCTGAAAAGCAACGGAAAAAATATCCTCGGGTGAGGATTAAAAAAAGAGAAAAGTCATTTGCAAGATGTATACAAGAATGTTCATAGGAGATTTATTCATAATAGCAAAAAATAAGAAACAGCCCAATTGTACATAATGAATGCACATATAAACAAACTAATATAATCAGATACCACTCAGCAGTAAAGGAACAAGCTACTGATACATGCAGCAACGTAGACGAATGTCACAGACATTATGCAGAATGAAAGAAGCCAGATACAAGAGTGCAAACCATAGGATTCCACTTACGTCAGGTTTAAAAACAAGTTAACTAATCTATAGGGGTATAAGTCAGTGTTTGCTTCTGGGAAGGGAGAGGGATTGATCAAAAACGGGCATGGGAAGAACTCTGGGGTAATGGGAATGATCGAGATCTCAGTTGCAGTGTTGTTGATATATATTTGCCAGAGGTCATCAAACTGTACATTTAATATCTCTGCATGTTGCTGTATATAATATACTCAGCATTTAAAATACCTTCTACCTGGATGTTAAGTCTTCCAGAGAGATGACAGAGGTTGAAATAGAGAGGAAACTGGAGAGTCAGAGGCTGGCTCTTGCTGAATGTGAGGGAAGCTGGAAAATGACAAGGAAGGAACAAAGGTGATAGGGTCCAATGCTATGACCTTCAAGGAGGAAGTTGTGGTCAGAAGTTGAAGGTATAAACTGGAGCCATTAATCATAAGGACTTGGCCAAGGAAGTCGCTTACGTCTCACCCCTGCCAACACTTAGAGGAGGAAACACCAGGTGAGGGGGGTCACCTGTGCAGGGATTCCAGAGTCCTTTCTGGGTTGTCACGGCTTCACCTGCTCTGAGCTGTGTTGGGAGTTTACTGGTCCTGATCACACTCTAGTTAGCCCACAGCTGGAGGTTAGAGAAGTTAGACCAGAGATGTGTGTACATGTACATCCACTTCATAGCTTTTCTATTCATTGCCTCTCCTCTTTTTTAAAAAAAGTATGTTTTTATTGATTTCAGAGAGAAGAAGGGAGAAGGAGAGAGGGAGATAGAAACATCAATGATGAGTCATCGATCAGCTGCCTCCTGCATGCCCTTGCTGGGGATGGAGACCGAAACCTGGGCATGTGCCCTGACTGGAAGTCAAACTGGGATCTCTTGAATGATAGGTCGATGCTCAACCACTGAGCTATGCTGGCTGGGCTCATTGCCTCTCCTCTTGAGTCCCTGATAAAACTTTCTTTTGAAAAATGCCATCCTTGTGTTTGCTGAGCTAATTTGCATGGCAGTTCCCATCTCGCAGGTTAAAGTTCCCCAGAGCATCTCAGAGTTATTGAAAAATGTCCATACATGTACCAGGGTATATTCCACATGGACTTAAGTCTGGGCATTGTCTTAGGGATCCACAAATTTTTGGATATTGAAAATTGTGGGTAAAGAAAAGAGGGAGAGAGAGCGAAATACCCTTGAGTTCAGGCTCAGCTATAGCATTGGTCATCATAGCCCAGGACTGGGGAGGAGCTAGGGGCTACCGACACTGTGCCCAGCACAGCAGGGTCTGGAAGTGACAGGTGCTACTCCCATTTTACAGATGTGTAAGTAGTGGAATTATAACTCCAATTAGGCTGACGGGTTCTAAACCGCATTGCCCGGGGCCGTGGAGTAGTGCCATGTGAGTGAGTGTGCACTGTGAAAGTATGCTTTTATCCTCAGGCAAGTGGCCCATTCCAGCCCCCACTCCCACTCCACTAAGTGGTGGCCTCCCCTTTCTCTCCAAACCATGGGCTTCTCACAGTTGACTAGAAGACACAAGCTTCTCTATATTCACTCTTTGGGCGGTGATAGGTGTTGATAGAACAAGGCAAGGTAAGGGACAGGACAGAAGCTGGAATTAAGGCCAGGTGAGAAAAGCCACGCATTGGTGCCTCAGGCGTCCTCATGTTCTGTGACCACCAGAGGGCAGACCTTGCCTTGCCATGGCACCTCGGTCCCACACCCTCCAGTTAGACTGCCCTGAGAAGGCGGCCACTCCCGGGATGGAGAATGGCTGAATCACTCCTTCCCAGGCTGTGTGGCACACATGCTAGTCTAGGTGGCTCAGAGAAGGGACATTTTTTCAAGCTTATATAGTTTGTGGGGAGCTGGCATTTCAACCCAGACTCCAAGCCAACGTTCTTAACCATGAGATTACTGCTTCTCAAAAAAAAAAAAAAAAAAAAAGGGAAAAAGGAAAAGAAAAGAGAAAAGAAAGAAAAGAAAAGAAAAGAAAAGAAGAAAAGAAAAAAGAAAAGAAAAAAGAAAAGAAGCTCCAGATCACCGCAGGGAAGGGGGCACTACACAATCCACAAATGTACAAATGTATTGTGGACAGAGCTAGAAACACAGACATAAAGAAAAATAACGTATTCACCTAAAAGGATCCAGAGAGCCCTGGCTGGGTTGGTCAGTGGGTTTGAGCTTTGGCCAGTGCACCGAAGGGTTGCGGGTTCATTCCCCAGTAGGGGCATGTACGGTGTTTCTCTCGTACATCGATATTTCTCTCTCTCTCCCTCTTCCTCTCTCAAATCAGTAAACATATCTCAGGTGAAGGTTTAAAAAATAAAAAATAAAGAATAAATAAAATAAAAGGAGAAGTGTGTGCTGAGGGCTGGGCAGGCGTTTCACCAGGCAGGTCTGTCACGCCTGTGTGGCAGACTCTTGTGTTAATCCCTGCACAACCTTGGAGTTACATGTAACACAATGTGTTTTTCATTCGTGTCTGTACAAACACATTTCGTGTAATAGACGCTGTAAATTCTCAATGAATGTTACTTAAATAGTGAAGAAAATAAGAAATGAGTGAGTTTATCATAATAAATGGTGATAAGTCCGCACAGAACGTTGCAGGTAAAGCAGACCTCAGTGTGAGCTGAATTCCTTTAATGGAGATTTGAATATGAATGGATCCACACTTCTCCATCAGCTGCACTCACTCTGATAAACCTTTCAAGTCAACAGTCTAAGTTAAACAGGAACTAAGCCCCTAGCAGACCTTGTCACCACCACTAATCAGCTTGCTTCATCCAAACCCCACAATTACAGAACTTCTAGAGCTGCCCTGGGGGAGGGCCAGATTCCAGGAAAAGGAATGGATTGGGGGGGGCAGGGGTTTGGGCACTGTTGAGCGAAAGGGTGGGGAAGTAGTTTAGCTCTGGGCCCAGGAGGGCTGCTGGAGGTGCTTCTGGGTTAAGGGTTGGTTTTCATGAACATCGGAAATTGGGGGAACCACATCCTGGTCTCACCCACCCACTTTGGCTTTACCAGGCCTCTAAGCCCCCCTCCCTTCAAACGCCTTGGCTACCTGCCCACATTCTGTCCCCACCTCTTAGTGACCCAGATATCACCACCAGCAGAAGCCTCTCTCCTCAGAGTCATGCATTTCATGCCCAAGGTCCCAGGAGGTCGAGGCCCTTTGCAAGTGATGTGTGAGTCCTGTGTGTCATAGAAAGCTCCCTACCCGCATCTGGCGACCACAGGCCTGGTCTCAAGTGGGTCGTTCCTCCTCCGCCCAGACCTCGCTGCTCTGGTCCCCCTCCTGAACCGGAATGCCCTCCGACATGGCCCGGATTCTGTTGCTGATCTTTATCACAGTCCATCCAGGTGAAAGGGCTTTCTCCCAGGACCCTGAGGGGTGAGGGCTGGAGGGAGGGGTGGGGGGAGGCTGGACGGAGAGGCCTCCGGGCGCAAGCATGGTCATGATCGGAATGAATATTGAGCCCTGAGGGGAGTGGCAAGGAAAGGAGAGTGGGAGCAGGTGGCACTCCATACAGCTGACACCCAGGGACTCCCTGGCTCAGTTCCCTCCATGCTGCCCCCCAGCATGGTCACTGCCAGCTTCCATCCAGAGCGCCTTTCTTCTCAGTCACCTTCCTAATAAGATAAAGTTGAAAGAACCAGCAAAATTGGCTTGAAGGGGTCAATTTTTTTTAAAGGGGTCAGGTTTAATTTGCTGAGTTTATATCTGGGTCTAGATATAATTAGGAGTTTGGGAGAACTAATTAAATTTAAGATAAGTTTTTTAGTGAAACTAATTATAATTCACTGAGAGACATTACTATCAGACATATCCCTGGACTCCAGACCTGTAGCTTCAGATCAGCTGAAACCTGGGGCAAATCTAGGCCCCACTCTAGAAACACTGAATAAAAAACTCTGGGGTGGGGCCAAGGAATCTGTTTTAACAAAGACTCTAGGTGATTTTGATGGGCTCTCAAGTTTGAAAACCAGTGAAATAGAAGAATGCCTGGTAAATTTCACTAACTAGAGAATTAATCAGGGATTTTAATAATTGGTTTAATTCATCAATTTGGATAAGTTAAATAGGGATCTCAATCCATTACAGCCAAGTCTTCACCTGAAGATTTAAGTAGTTAACTCCCTTTAACAAAAAACGAAGCAGCAAGGGTAGAGTATTTAGTACCACAATAATATCTGGAGTGATATAATTAATTATATTAGTTAACCAGGCAGCCACATTCATTAATGAGCTTCAGTTTCACTGTCACAGGTTAGATTTCAGCAAAACATTACTCGTGAGTGCAGCTGCGAAGTGATGAAAGGCAGTGAGGGTGAGAGTTGGTGTAGGAAAGAATTTGAAAATGATTTAATAAGCAACGTTAAATATTAGATTGGTAAAGAGGAAAGGATTTAATGGGGCACCCAAAGTGCTTGTCCCCCTGACCCTCCGTGGGTTGGGGACAGCTGGGATATTCTACTGTAACCTCTCTTGCCTTTTCTCTTTGGAGTAACAGGGGAGGCGTTTATCTGGGTCTTCTCTCTGCCCTCAGGATCCTGTGCTCTCTGGGTGTCCCAACCTCCTGAGATTCATACCCGGGAGGGTGCCACTGCCCTCCTGCCTTGCTCCTTCAATGCCAGCCAAGGGAGACCGGCCATTGGCTTTGTCATGTGGTACCGGGATAAGGTGGCCCCAGGGAAGGAGGTGAGGAATGGGACCCCAGAGTTCAGGGGCCGCCTGGCCCCTCTTGCCTCGTCCCGCTTCCTCTGTGACCACCAGGCTGAGCTGCACATCTGGGACACCCGAGGCCGTGATGCTGGAGTCTACGTGTGCAGAGTGGAGGTGCTGGGCCTGGGTATCGGAACAGGGAATGGGACTCTGCTGGTGGTGGAGAAAGGTGAGGCCCAGGAGGCTGTGTCTCCTAGGCTGGGGGCTCCACTCTCCCTGGAAGTTGACAGTCCCTTCCTGAGGCTCCCTGAGCCTGTGCACGCCCCGTCCCCAGGTCCCCTTTACCAAGCCCTTCTTCTCCACCACCACATGCAGGGCCTCCTGGGCTAGGGGCCCTCACAGCCCTCCTCCTCCGGGCTGGATTCTATGCCTTCAGCTTTCTCTCCGTGGCCATGGGCAGCACCATTTATTACCAAGGCAAGTGTGAGTCATGGAGCCGTGACAAGGGCAGAAGAGATGGAGGAGCAGCAAGAGAGCTGGAGGAGGGGGAGACAGAGACCAGGACGAGAAGGAGGGCTGCAGCACCCAGTGATTCCGGCCACCTCATGGCCAGCCACTGTCACATGGGAATACACTGTCACAGCTGGGGCGGCCTCTGCTGAGTGCTTCCAGACCCCAATAAATCTGCCCCACCACTAACCTCTATGAGTCTTGTGTATTTCCTTCTCCGTTCTCCGAGGCCTCAGTGTGCCCCTCTCTGGGGTCCCCTGACTCTTAACCCTCCCTTCTACTAAGTCTGGCCTGGAAAGGTCCCAGAGGGAGTTGGGGCTTGGCAGGATGGGACCCACCCCTCCCAGGCCCAGGAGCTGAAGCCGGTTATCCTGAGAAATGAGTGCAAATCTGGTCGGTCCTACTTGTCAACAGCCCGCAGACAAGTACAATAGTCCTCCCCCCATCTGGGGGGTACGTTCCAAAACATATATACTATACTATGTTTTTTTCTTGTACATACATACCTGTGATAAAGTTTATTTTATAAATTAAGCATAGCAAGAGATTAATAATAATAAAATAGAATGATCATAACAACATACTATAATAATGATGTGAATGTGGTTTCTTTCTCTCAAAATATCTTATTGTTGCCCTAGCTGGTTTGGTCCAGCGGGTAAAGCATCGACCTGTGGACTGATCCCGGGTTCGATTCCGGCCAAGGGCACGCACCTCGGTTGCAGGCTCGACCCCGCCCTGGTCCGGGCGAGTGCAGGAGGCAACCGATCTATGAGTCTCTCTCACATCGATGTTTCTCTCCCCCTTCCATTCTCTCTGAAAAGCAATGGAAAAAATATCCTTGGGTGAGGGTTTAAAAAAACAATCTTACTGTCCCGTACTCACGCTTCTTGTGACACGTGAGCGAGTACAGTGCCTGCCTATGTGATGAGGTGAGTAACGTAGACGGTGCGGCAGAGCATTAGGCTGCGATAAGGGTGACTCGATCACAAGCACTGTGATGCCTCAGCTGTTGACCTTGTAACCAGCTGGCCACTACTAAGTGACTAACACACAGGTAGCACATCCAGGGTGGATTTGCTGGACAAATGGGCGAACCATGTCCCTGACAGGACGGAGCGGGATAGAGTGAGATTTCGTCACGCCACTCAGAATGGTGCGCAATTTAAAACTTAGGAATTGTTTATTTCTGGAATTTTCCATTCAATATTTTCTGACTGTGGGTAACTGAAACAGTGTTTCCACTGTTTTAAAGCCAATCCATGGATTAGGGGGGGACACTGCTGTACTCTTTCCTGCCTTCAGGAGAGCTTGGGTCCCTAAACACCCTTCTTCAGCGGATAAATCACTACTTGACCCTAGAGTAGGTGGGAAGGTAAGTCGCTTAAGTTTTGATGGTGGCCGTGTTGAAGGGGGCCTTGAGATGGATTGAGAAGCCTGAGACGCAGGAAGTTTGAGACCATGGTCTTTACTGGGTGAACCACAGGACACCCGCCTGGATTGAGGGTGCTGTCTGGGGTGCTCAGGTGGGTTTGCTTTCAGCAATGCAGGTGTAGTCGGAGCTGGGGTCCTCCTTGGAGCCTTTCCGTTCTCGGTGGCCAAGGGCAGGTCGCTCACTGCAGGGCAGCCTCTGCAGAGACGCATAGTGGAGCTCCTGCTCCGGGGGCTGCACCTGGGGCCAGGGCAGAAGGAGCTGCCGGAGGGAGGTCACAGGAGGGGCCTTCCTCTCCCCATCCGTCCTGGGAGTTCTCTGCCCACCCCCACTTTCTGACCTCAGAGCCTCAGCCCCCCAGCTCTGGCTCTTTTCCCTCCTTGCCTTTTCTCCAGTCTCTCTCTCCCCACTCTTTCTATTATTCTTACTGTTTCTCTTTTAACTCTCTCATTTTCCCAGTGTCTCCTTCATTCTCTGACTTTCTCATTCTTTGTCTCTCTAGTTTCTGCCTCTCTCTTTTCTGTCCTTTTTTTTTTTTTTTTTAAAAATATCTTTATTGATTTCAGAGAGAGGAAGGGAGAGGGAGAGAGAAACATCAATGATGAGAGAGTCATTGATCGGCTGCCTCCTGCACGCCCCCCAGTGGGGATCGAGCCCGCAGCCTGGGATGTGCCCTGACCGGGAACCGAACCCCGATCTCCTGGATCCCAGGTCGATGCTCACCCGCTGAGCCACGCCCGGCCGGGCTTTTCGGTCTTTCTTCCTCTTCCCATCTCTACACCATTTCTTTCCTCTTTTCTACTCACTCTCTTGATCCTCCCTTTTTCCTCTTATTTTCTCACCGGCTCTCTCACGCCCGCGCTCTCTCCCTTCTCTCACCCCCATCTCAGTCTCAGCCCCTTTGTTGCCCCCTCACCCAGTCCCTGCCCCACACTCACCCAGCGCCTCTCCAGCTTCCTCACTGGAAGAAACAAAGGAACTCAGGGTGCCGGCCACTGCACCCCGCCCTCCTGAGCGCCCCCACCTGCCCGCTGGGCTCCTCCCTCGCCCGCTTGCCCGCGGCTCCCACAGCCAAAGCCGGGGCCTCTCTTCGGACAGGCTCCCCTCCCCTGCCCCGCCAGCTTCCCC